CCACACTGCAGCTCAAAAAGACTGCTTCTACGGGTGTTTGAGCTTTTTTTCTTCTCTGCCTATAAATTCCCTTCGATGTTAGCCTATGTGTACATGTGTGCTATAGGTGTTTTCAGGAATTTAGTGGCAGGGGAGCTTAAGGGGACAAAAAAAAAACCAAACATCATTTATGTGTTCAGGAGAGGAGCTTTTGAGCATGGAAAATGTTCAAAAGTTCCTTAACGTGCGTTAATGCTAGGTGCATTCCCACTAGGTGCGTTCTTGCGGTAATGCACTCAATTGGCCAGAATTCTGGCCAACAGAATGTATTAATGTCTGACACGGGAACGATTATTAACATGCATGAATGTACATGCAAAACGTGGGTTTTTACCACATTTTTGCAGCTGCTAGACTCCTGTAGGAGAGAAAAAGCATCAATAGCATACAGTGTGCATGAAGCCTTAGGTGCAACAACACTTGGTGAACAAGGATGAAAATAACGACCCCACGCTTGCTCACCAAGGAATAATCCAGCCATGGCTGCACCAATATTTCTAACCTGAAAGGTTGCATTTAGCTTTCAGTCTTTACTGTACTGATCCTTTAATTCCCAGCATGCCTGGACAACCTCTGACCTTGGCAGACCATAGCTTGCTAGGGTTAAATACCTGGCAGCCACAGCTGTTGAAAAGAGATTTGCGAAAATAGGGCCTAATTTACGATAGCGCACAGTTAATTTAATAGCATTTTAGGATCCGATTGTGAGTTTCTGTGCCCCATTGATTTATGGAACTGTACGGAATGACAGCTTGATCCCCTAAAATGTATTTAAGATGCAGAAATGAAAACATAATTTATTAGAAGTCAGTTAAGAGTAAGATGAGACGGCAATCTAAATGAATAGACAGATGCTCTGTTTGTGAGGCCTTGTTTTCCTAAGGCCTCCGGCTCAGCTAATGCGCTTGAGATGTTTTTGAAAAAAAAAAAAAAAAGGGAGAAAAAATTTTGCAACAACAAAAACCCTTTTGCAAGAACACACACTTAAAACTTCCTTTCGGCCTAACCGTATTTATAAATCAAAATTATGGGCCCGTGGGGGAAAGGGAAGTTAAACTGTTTTCAAATGAAAAGGAAAAAAAAACTTAAGTGATTCATTCCAGTGAAAATGATAATTGAAAATGCAGAAACTGAAAATTATTCACTTCCCACGAAGGCTGTTTTTATTTTTAATATTTACTTTTGTTACAAAGAATATGAGATCGGTTAGGACGATGAAAGCTATAAATTTACTGCTTCAAATGTTTAAAATAAGTGGAAAAATAATAAGCTTAAACCAGATTTAAGATCTACACTTCCTCTTCAGCCAGCAATGGAATGGTCTGCTTTACTTTATATGTCACAGGGCAGGATTGTAAAGACAGATCTTTACCGTGAAGGAAGAAAATATCTTTTTTTTCTCATTTTTATGATGAAAAACACACAGGCTTGGGCCCGGGATCTACAAGTATATTTTTAAAGGTGAACTTTATTCTGCCTCTATTTTGCCTTCCCTGGTTCCTCCTTTCCCCCCTCATCAGTAAGCTAGAGAAATTATCTAACGAAGCCTGTTTTCATGACATACCTAATGTTAGGCCCAGTAATATCATCATTATGTCTCTGTGTTTCTCTATGCAATGCAGGCAGATCATGAGTAGTGGGAGGGGCCAAGAGGGTGCTGTACAGGGGCGGACTGACCATTTGGAAACTCGGGCACTGCCCGAGGGCCCGTGGTCAGTAGGGGGCCCCATGAGATGCCCCTGGTACTTTTTTCATAGGCTTTTTTGGTTTGGGCAAGGACACAGGGGCCCCATGATCCCCTATTGCCCTGGAGGCCCCATGAGTTGTCAGTCCGCCCCTGGTGCTGTACATAGCTTCCCGAAAACAGGAAGCTGTGGAAAAGCCCACATGTAGTGCTGAGCCTCCCGGATTGAAAGAACTGCTATCCAAACACAGTCAGTGTACAGTACTATCCCAGACCACTATATTAGTGTCACTAGGGATGTCAGTGTCAGTTAGTGAACCTCCCAGATAGTGTCTGTTAGTGCCAGATTGCCTGCCACCCTATCACAGTCTCACTATAAGTTTCTGATTACCGGCATTACAGTATAGTGTCTATAGCTGTGTGAGTTCCAGTATATATACCATTGTTTGTAGATGCTATAACTTTCTCACAAGCCAATTAATATACACTTATTGTTTTGGGGTTTTTTTTTACCAATGACATGTAGCATTTTGGCCAAATTTATGAAGAAATTAGATTTTTTTATAGGATGTTTTCTAACAGAAAGTAAAAAATATTGGGGTTTTCTTTTTAAAATTTTTGGTCTTTTTTAATTTATATTGGAAATCCAGTGGTGATCAAATACCACCAGAAGAAAGCTCTATTTGTGTGAAAAAAATGATACATTTCTTTTTTGCGTACAGTGTTGCATGACCACGCAATCGCAAGTTAAAGTAGTGCAGCGCTGATCAGCAAAAATGGCCTGGTCATGAAGGGGGTAAAACCTTGCAGAGGCCAAGTGGTTAAAAAAACATATATACCATTGGTACAAAAATAGATAAAAAATGATTTAAATAAATGCCATCACAACCCATTTGTTTCCTTTAAGGGCTTATTTATCTAATGCATGTCAGTGTAGTGCTACTTTCGTGGAAGCTGCAGGATTACTGGCCAGGTCAAAAGCTTTGCCCCACGACCAAACACATAGACTCATTCACATATTTCTTCAATGACCAGTTTAGGTGTTTTGTTTTTGTTGTTTTTATTTTTTGGCGAACTTGGATAGGGATGAGGGAATTAGGTGGGATACTCACAAAGAAGAACTATGTACAGTTGAGGACTTTAGATATTCTTTTGGATAAGCTATGATGAGGTCCATGCTTGGGAAAACAGTAGACTTCAGCTTTAAGGCAGTATTAATAGTAGTAGTAGTAGTAGCAACTAGAGTCCCTTTGGGTAGGAGATTAAGTTGACAAAGCTCTTCAGAACACCCGTTTAGCTAGACCCACAGCTGACTCTCTAGCACCAGAGGGGTTAAGCAGCAGTCTCTAAGATCCTTTAGGGGTGTCTGCATTCACAAAGCCCAAGAGCTGATGGTTGTCTTCCTCTGTGATACCAGACCAGATCTTCAGTAGACAGCCCTCAGTCAGCATTAGCTTAACCTGGGTTGTCCACCTGAGGCCTAGATTTAGCAACATTGCCTGAGAGGGCAGCATGTCCTCTCCAGGCTGGAACAATCCTATACAGGAAAGTCCCAGAGCTCAGTGTGCTCACCGACTATATACAGTTACCCAGCATGCCATCAGAGCCTCTCTCTCTGGGATCGGCCAGGGCTGTATCAATATTTATGCTGCCATCTGCACCTATTATCCAGAATCTTCTCACATTTTCTGGATGCAGAGGGAGCTATGAGCCTAGCTGATCATACTGAGCAAACCCAACTAGCAGAACACAGCAACACACAGTTTTCTGTGTGGGAGGGTTAAGAGTTATGTTAGGAAATAGATATTAGGTTTTTACCATTGGTTGGCAGCTGTAGTTGGATAAGATGGTCTTCATTGTAGGGGCTGGGGGAGAAAGGCAGCCCCATCCTCAGAACACACTGCAGCATTGAATGAACATTTTCTTCTCTCCGGAATGTGTTGATGGGGTAATAGAGTAATTTCCTTTCTTGCAAACTCGTGGTTGCAGGAAATAAAACTGCCTAATGTATAGCCTGCTTTAGATTGTCTCCCCTCTGAATGAGGTAACATAACCATAGGACAGCAGTGTTTGTCAACCTGTGGAGAGGGCAGTGTTAAGCTGGATATACACTAGTAGGATATCAAACAAACATTTGTAAGAAAATTGTCAGAACATTTGTACATTTGTCGTTCAAAAGTAGTTCAAGATTTTGTTTGCTTTTTAACATTTGATTTTGGAATCAATGGTCTTTACCGAATGAAAAACACATACACTCTTAGAAATTTATATATATTCAAGAAACATTTTTCATCCTGATCCTTCAAATATTCTCATTACTGCAGACAAAAATTAACATTGATTTGACGTATTAATGATTAGAAAAATGAACAAATTGTAAGAACATTTGTTCATTTTTCTAATCAAAAAAATGTCGAACAAAATTCTACTAGTGTATACCCAGCTCTAGACTAGCAGATTTAGATGGATTTGACAAACAAATTACAGCTGAACTCCAGCTAACACTATTTAAGCAGTTGCAGCACACATTTATTTTTCCTTTTGGGATAAAAGTTTTGCATAACTGAATAAAAGCTGCCTATTGTAAGCACCCCTGGTTAGTGATAAATGGTTTGCCTCAACCCTCTAACTGCCCCTTTGGCTGGACAGCTTGGTCTGTTAATAAAGTTGAAACATAACAGGCTTACTGGCTGGTTCTCCAGGTGAACATAAAGGAAAAAAAGATTAAAAAAGGAAACTAATGCAACCATCACATCTAAAAATTGGCAAGCTGCAATATAATACATTTATTTATTATTACAGGTACTTATATAGAGCTGTCAATTTACACAGCGCTTTACATATACAGTTGTGTTCAAAATAATAGTAGTCAGACATCACTAACCTGATCAATCACTGTTTTTGGTAGAAATTATATTTCTACATGGCAAATAATTTACTAGCAGGTGTAGTAGAGTAATAGAAATCCAACAGACCCACAGTCATGACATGCATGCTGCTGATTCTGTGTAATTGAATCACTAATTGAAAGGGGCATGTTCAAAATAATAGCAGTGTGGCGTTCTATTAGTGAGGTCATTCATTCTTTGAAAAAAACAGGTGGCAATTATTGCCCTTATTTAAGGAAGGAAGGCAGCAAATGTTGTACATGCTGGTTACAGTGCATTTCTCTCTGAAATTCTGAGGAAAATGGGTTGTTCCAGACATTGTTCAGAATAACAGCGTACCTTGATTAAAAAGTTGATTGGAGAGGGGAAAACATAAAGAAGTGCAGAAAATGATAGTCTGCTCAGCTAAAATGATCGCAAATGCTTTAAAATGGCAACCAAAACCTGAAAGACGTGGAAGAAAGTGAAAAACTACCATTCGAATGGATAGAAGAATAGCCAAAATGGCAAGGACTCAGCCAACAATCAGCTCCAGGAAGATCAAAGAAGGTCTAAAGTTACCTGTGAGTACTGTTACAATTAGAAGACGCGCCTATGTGAAGCCAAGCTATCTGCAAGAAGCCCCCGCAAAGTCCCACTGTTGAAAAAAAGACGTGTGCTAAAGAGGTTACAATCTGCCAAAGAGCACATTGACTGGCCTAAAGAGAAATGGCGCAACATTTTGTGGACTGATGAAAGTAAGATTGTTCTTTTTGGGTCTAGTGGCCGGAGACAGTTTGTCAGACGACCCCAAACCACTGAATTCAAGCCACAGTACACTGTGAAGACAGTGAAGCATGGTTGCACAAGCATCATGATATGGGGATGTTTGTCATACTACGGTGTTGGGCCTATTTATCGCATACCAGGGATCGTGGATCAGTTTGAATACATCAGAATACTTGAAGAGGTCATGCTGCCTTATGCTGAAGAGGAAATGCCCTTGAAATGGGTGTTCCAACAAGACAACGACCCCAAACACACCAGTAAACGTGCAACATCTTGGTTCCAGACATTATGGAGTGGCCAGCCCAATCCACGGATCTTAATCCAATAGAAAACTTGTGGGGTGACATCAAAAATGCCGTTTCTGAGGCAAAACCAAGAAATAGAGAAGAACTGTGGAATGTAGTCCAATCATCCTGGGCTGGAATACCTGATCACAGGTGCCAGAAGTTGGGTGACTCCATGCAACACATGTACAGCAGTTCTCAGAAACAGTGCGACTACAACCAAATATTCATTAAGTGATTCAAAGGAAAGCAAAATCTTCAAACATTTTTCAGTTTATATAGTGAATGTTTGAGTTTGTAAAGAAGAATACAAACACTGCTATTTTTTGGAACAGTCTAATATTCACTTTTCTTCAATTTTTTTAGAGGAACAACACAAATTTGATATATTTTTCTTCATGTTTTGATTTGGAATAGAATGTGTAGTGTTCCCAATGAATTTGCGTGTATGAAAATAAAAGCTATTAGAAGGATTTTGAGCTTTATTCACTTTTTTGAACACACTGCTATTATTTTGAACACAACTGTGTATATATATATATACATCATGTCTTTGGAGTGTGGAAGGAAACCAGGGTACCCGGAGGAAACCCATACAGACACAGAGAGAACATGCAAACGTCCAGGCAGGTATAATACATTTTTGTTTTGGGTTCAGAACTGCTGAAATCGCACAACAATTTAAACAGCATTATACCATACAGCAATGGCTGCAATTCTTTACATAAAAGGAAAAATGCAGAATATAGAATAAACACAGATCATGGGAAATCCTGCACTAGTGCCATGCCATTTATTGCTTGTACAAATATATTTCCAGTATTACCTTCTTTACTGTGTCCATTGATCACACTGTTCCATGCAGGTTAAGAATACTGAGTGCTTTGAATGTCCATAGAAAATAAATGGGCCTATACAATGCCTATAATGGGCCTATACAATGCAACACATGTCAAAGCCCCAATTGTGCCCCACCGCATGTTGCCACACAGTTGCTGGTGCTCTGACATATGTTGCATTGTTTTGGCCTTCCAGTTTTTATGGGCATTTTTTGTAATGTATTTTCTATGTTCTAAACTAAAAAAAAAAGTATTTTCACATTTTTAATCAGGTACATATTAAACATTGATGATAGATAATCCATATACTTATATCACCTAGAGCAGTGATGGCAAACCCGTGGCACGCGTGCCACAGCCGGCACGCCGAGCCTTATCTGTGGGCACGCCAGGAGAATCCAGCGGCGCGCTGTCTTCCCGGCTGTAGTGTGCGTGACAGCCGGGTCCCAAGTGCGCATGAACAAGAAGCAGTGCTCTTTGTGAATGGTAAGGCGGTACCTGGGACACATGACAGATCCCAGAAGCCGCCGGACCAATCACAAAGCGCAGGGCTTCTCGCGCATGCGCACTGGGCATCCGGCTGTCCGACGAGCGCCCACACTACAGAAGCCGGGAAGACAGCGCGCGGCTGGATAAAGGAACAGGTAAGATAAAAAAAAAAAACTCTGCGGAAGTAAGAGCGGGTACCTGTCAAATTCAGGTACCCGCTCCCCCTCCCTCCCCAAAGGTCAGCAGTCATCTCTGTACTGTCCGCAGTCTCTGGTCATCCCTGTGCTGTCCGCAGTCTCTGGTCATCCCTGTGCTGTCCGCAGTCTCTGGTCATCCCTGTGCTGTCCGCAGTCTCTGGTCATCCCCTGTACTGTCCGCAGTCTCTGGTCATCTCCTGTACTGTCCGCAGTCTCTGGTCATCCCTGTGCTGTCCGCAGTCTCTGGTCATCCCTGTACTGTGTCCGCAGTCTCTGGTCATCCCTGTGCTGTCCGCAGTCTCTGGTCATCTCCTGTACTGTGTCCGCAGTCTCTGGTCATCCCTGTACTGTGTCCGCAGTCTCTGGTCATCTCCTGTACTGTGTCCGCAGTCTCTGGTCATCCCTGTACTGTGTCCGCAGTCTCTGGTCATCCCTGTACTGTGTCCGCAGTCTCTGGTCATCCCTGTACTGTCCGCAGTCTCTGGTCATCCCTGTACTGTGTCCGCAGTCTCTGGTCATCCCTGTACTGTCCGCAGTCTCTGGTCATCCCTGTACTGTCCGCAGTCACTGGTCATCCCTGTACTATGTCCGCAGTCTCTGGTCATCCCTGTACTGTCCGCAGTCTCTGGTCATCTCCTGTACTTTCCGCAGTCTCTGGTCATCCCTGTACTGTCCGCAGTCACTGGTCATCCCTGTACTGTGTCCGCAGTCTCTGGTCATCTCCTGTACTGTGTCCGCAGTCTCTGGTCATCCCTGTACTGTCCGCAGTCTCTGGTCATCCCTGTACTGTGTCCACAGTCTCTGGTCATCCCTGTACTGTCCGCAGTCTCTGGTCCTCTCCTGTACTGTCCGCAGTCTCTGGTCATCTCCTGTACTGTTCGCAGTCTCTGGTCATCTCCTGTACTGTGTCCGCAGTCTCTGGTCATCTCCTGTACTGTGTCCGCAGTCTCTGGTCATCTTCTGTACTGTCCGCAGTCTCTGGTCATCTCCTGTACTGTCCGCAGTCTCTGGTCATCCCTGTACTGTGTCCGCAGTCTCTGGTCATCCCTGTACTGTGTCCGCAGTCTCTGGTCATCTCCTGTACTGTGTCCGCAGTCTCTGGTCATCCCTGTACTGTCCGCAGTCTCTGGTCATCTCCTGTACTGTGTCCGCAGTCTCTGGTCATCCCTGTTCTGTGTCCGCAGTCTCTGGTCATCCCTGTACTGTCCGCAGTCTCTGGTCATCCCTGTACTGTGTCTGCAGTCTCTGGTCATCCCTGTACTGTGTCTGCAGTCTCTGGTCATCCCTGTACTGTGTCCGCAGTCTCTGGTCATCCCTGTACTGTGTCTGCAGTCTCTGGTCATCCCTGTACTGTGTCCGCAGTCTCTGGTCATCCCTGTACTGTCCGCAGTCTCTGGTCATCCCTGTACTGTCCGCAGTCTCTGGTCATCTCCTGTACTGTTCGCAGTCTCTGGTCATCTCCTGTACTGTGTCCGCAGTCTCTGGTCATCTCCTGTACTGTGTCCGCAGTCTCTGGTCATCTCCTGTACTGTGTCCGCAGTCTCTGGTCATCTCCTGTACTGTGTCCGCAGTCTCTGGTCATCTCCTGTACTGTCCGCAGTCTCTGGTCATCCCTGTACTGTCCGCAGTCTCTGGTCATCCCTGTACTGTGTCCGCAGTCTCTGGTCATCTCCTGTACTGTGTCCGCAGTCTCTGGTCATCCCTGTACTGTCCGCAGTCTCTGGTCATCTCCTGTACTGTGTCCGCAGTCTCTGGTCATCCCTGTACTGTGTCCGCAGTCTCTGGTCATCCCTGTACTGTCCGCAGTCTCTGGTCATCCCTGTACTGTGTCTGCAGTCTCTGGTCATCCCTGTACTGTGTCCGCAGTCTCTGGTCATCCCTGTACTGTCCGCAGTCTCTGGTCATCCCTGTACTGTCCGCAGTCTCTGGTCATCTCCTGTACTGTGTCCGCAGTCTCTGGTCATCCCCTGTACTGTGTCCGCAGTCTCTGGTCATCCCTGTACTGTGTCCGCAGTCTCTGGTCATCCCTGTACTGTGTCCGCAGTCTCTGGTCATCCCTGTACTGTCCGCAGTCTCTGGTCATCCCTGTACTGTCCGCAGTCTCTGGTCATCCCTGTACTGTGTCCGCAGTCTCTGGTCATCCCTGTACTGTGTCCGCAGTCTCTGGTCATCCCTGTACTGTGTCCGCAGTCTCTGGTCATCCCTGTACTGTGTCCGCAGTCTCTGGTCATCCCTGTACTGTGTCCGCAGTCTCTGGTCATCCCTGTACTGTCCGCAGTCTCTGGTCATCCCTGTACTGTGTCCGCAGTCTCTGGTCATCCCTGTACTTGTCCGCAGTCTCTGGTCATCCCTGTACTGTGTCCGCAGTCTCTGGTCATCCCTGTACTGTGTCCGCAGTCTCTGGTCATCCCTGTACTGTCCGCAGTCTCTGGTCATCCCTGTACTGTCCGCAGTCTCTGGTCATCTCCTGTACTGTGTCCGCAGTCTCTGGTCATCCCCTGTACTGTGTCCGCAGTCTCTGGTCATCCCTGTACTGTGTCCGCAGTCTCTGGTCATCCCTGTACTGTGTCCGCAGTCTCTGGTCATCCCTGTACTGTCCGCAGTCTCTGGTCATCCCTGTACTGTCCCTGTACTGTCCGCAGTCTCTGGTCATCCCTGTACTGTCCGCAGTCTCTGGTCATCCCTGTACTGTGTCCACAGTCTCTGGTCATCCCTGTACTGTGTCCGCAGTCTCTGGTCATCCCTGTACTGTGTCCGCAGTCTCTGGTCATCCCTGTACTGTTAATTAGTTTGCACTACTGTACGAGTTGTTTTTTCTAAACCAAAAGCTCGATATTCAGGTTTCATTGCAGTGTTGGCACTTTGAAAGAAATAAGTTGGTTTTGGGTTGCAGTTTGGGCACTCGGGCTCAAAAAGGTTCGCCATCACTGACCTAGAGCCAGTAGATGAGAGTGTCAGGCATTATTAGCAGCTTCCCAAAGGCTTCAATAACATCTTTGCTTTGAAATTGATATGAATAGGAAAAAAATAAAATTACACCAACTTCGGTGGAAAAAGGGATATATCCAAGGTTTTATTTGCCATTAGACACTCAGCTTCTAAGGGGGTTTGTGAATGGCTTGTTTAGCACTACCCTCTTGAAGACTGAATTTGTTTTGGGTCCCCCTATGCTCTGCATGGCCAGGCAAAAAGCATTTTTCACACTTGTAGTCAGTAAACAGTCCTTGAGCTGGTTTTTAGTTGTTTTTGTTAAGAGGTTAACAACTTGGATGGGGTCTAG